GTTGCGCTTTTGCCTGCAAGTGAAATACAAGTTAATGAATTAATCACTTGCCAGCTCCATAAAATGTATGTCAGAAAGTGTGTTGAAGACCAAAAACACACAATGAGAGAGCGAAAAAAGACAACTTGCTCTACGTCAAATGAAACCAATTAAATTGAATTATCGTTTATTCTGTTTCATTGCATCGGTGTTCCATCGACGTTGTTTTCGACGCACATAATTACCGCTGAACAAAAACAAAAACAATATTAATATTTTGTGCTTTTCATAGTGAAACTATTTATACGATATGTCATTATGGTGGCACACCTTCCAGTGTATGCGCGCAACATTCTCTCCTCCGTGGCGGTTGAGTCAAGTCCCAAGCCGTGTGCCGAGAAATAATGTTGTTCTTCTTCGTTGTCATCATCAGCGTTGCTGCTCGACGAGCTTGTGTGTGTGTGATATTGCGTGTTCGATTCGAATCTCAGATGAAACTATCGTGATCTACAGAGGCGGTCAGTTTGTTGCAACATCATCATCAAATTATACATTTATTTGATGTACGATTCGAAATTACCTTTTGTTCGGCGTATAAAATGGGCATCGATGCTATTGCCAATGGCTCAAATCATATGGACAATTCCGAGTTGTCGTTGTGAGCGCACACGCCTCCGACCACATTCACTAGTTGAAAGCGAATTTTATCGCGTTGAATGGAAGTTGAAACGAAATGAAAAACACATTGTAGCAGCCAGCGCACCATACACTCAGACTCACTATGTATAAAAAAAACCATTCCAAGGATAGGTGTCCTTTGTCATTATGATGATGAAATTCTATACCAAACTTAGTTAGCAAACATTTATAACATATATATCGATCGGTCTGCCGAAGCAGCAGCAGTAGCTGGTGCTGCTACTGTTGCTACTGTTTCTTCGTTCGCTTCCGCACGTGCACTTCTTCTTCATTTTGTTTCTGTCTGTTACACAAATTACACTCGTGCCAAATAATTCAGTTCACATGCATTTGTGATAATAATCATTTTCATTTGACAATTTTCACGGCATTGGTGCGGCTCCCTCGTGTCGTGCACAACGCCGCCGAATGCTTGTCATTTTCCTTCTTATTTCATTTCGAAACATATCTTTATTTCCGTTTATACCGAAAAATTCTGCAAACAACTTTATAATTGGATCGCTTGTTACTTGGGAAATTTGTTAACGCTTAATTTTTCACAGCTCTCGTACACTTGTCCGCAGGCGAATAGAACTTTTCAGTCGCACGACGACAATGACGCATCATCAATGCACAATTTGTAGTTAAGCTTACTTGAACCCGATCGCTGTGTATGGACGGGTTATATAAAGGCGATAATATAACAGCTTGTATTTACAGCGCAATAATACCTATATAAATATGATATTTCAAAAATTACTTGAATAATTACTGTGTGTGTGTGTTATGAGTTATTTAATCAGATTTTCATAGTCGTAAGCAGAATTGAATATTTCATATTTGCCCCCGAAATGAAATCGCTGCAATAGCTGAAAAAAAGCGAATGGGCTTGATTTCGGTGAATATGCACATCAGCACGGCTCAAGCCATTTCAAGCGGAATGGATCTGATAAGGGCGCGATTTTCTGTGAAGAATAGACTAAACAAATCCATAAACTTCACTACTCAAGTTTATGCTTAAGTCAGCGCAAAAAAAGCGTATGATATATCCTAACATAAACAGCAAAACAAGACAAAAAAAAAACGCAATTTTATCGTCGCATTTGTAAATAAAAAAAAACATTTTTTACGGCTGCTGATTAAAAGCAAAATGCGTGCACATTAAAGTCTATTGACACTGACGCGACTCTGCCAGTTTCAGACTCACTATTTATTTTTTGATTTACTTTATTATAATTTGTCACAAAGCCAATGCTTTTAGTTGTTATGTGTGTGTCTATGTCATGAAATTTATTCGTACATTTGCGTTTGTTTTGTTCACAAAAAATATGTCTCTGAACTAATAAATAACTAATCGGGCGATACGACCACCGCAGTACTGCTGCTGTCACAAAACAATTTTCATTGAGCAGAAGAGAGCAAGAAAAAAAAACCAACAAATAAATCAACAAATAAAATGAATATATAAATAAACACGAGATATGTAAATATTTGATCTACGTGGTGAATTGTAACTGAAGTTAATCAAGCGATTCTTTTCCACTATTTTCGCTCTATCTCTTCGAAATTGTTGGGGTATCTCTCTCTCTCTCTCTCTCTCTCTCTCTCTCTCTCTGTACTTTTTTTTTGCAAGCTGATTGTTGTTTATCACGAACGCAACAGGAACTTAAATGCGCTGATACTTTAGCCATAATTTTATTTTCAAAACTCTAACGAACCAACAAACAATATTCACCCGAGAGCAGTAGATCGGTGCTGATCTTTTTTAATTAAATTAAAACGAATGCGCGCGAAACACACATATGTCGAGGGGGGCCGAGAGAGGCATAGACACATCATATGAAAGTCATATGACGCATTTCAGTGCTAAATAAATTTGTATTAGCGAATAAATGATTTGGTGTTTTGCAAAGAAAAAAAAAACAACAGAATATAAAAAAAATAACATACACAAATATTATAAGACTCAATTCATTGGAATGGGAATGTGAATGAACGCGAGCGCGTCATCAAACACAACAAAAAATAGTTTTGGATTATGTTTGTACCGTTAAACATGTACATCCAAGCGGCGGAATAGATGGCGAAATAATCATTTGGCTAGAACTTTTTTTTTCTCTCGGTCTCTTGCTCCCTGCGTCTCTTGCTCTCCATCTTTCTCTCTCTCTCTCTCTCTCTCTATGGTTGGAGTTGCGTGCCTTAAATGCTAATGCAAGATACAGGCGAATGCTTGGCTGCTTTTTTTTATCGAATAATTTATTGAAAAAACGCAACAAAGCAAACGGAATTCATAAAATGAAAGAACAAAAACGAAATTGTGTGTATGTTCGAATGCAAAATTAAAATCATATTCGTTCACTTGCAACGACGAGAGAGCCAAACGAATTGAACGAACCAAACCAAAATGTACGTAACGAATTCAAACGACTAGTCAAATCCAAAATGCCACTTACTAGCTTCAGTCATCGTCACAATTATCATATTTATGTAAATTTATGCATCGAATTCAGCTATCTATTCAACTTGACTCCATTATGTGTCATTGTTTATATTCATATGCCCGGGTTGGCTAAATACAGACACACACACATATATGCACACACATGTATACAAAAACTAAATAAACTATGAAGAAAAAAAAAACTAACATCGACGACAACAAGAAGAATAGTCGTTATGTGTGGAATACAAAGAGTTTGGATTCGCGGCCGATGGCCGACACTCAGCACCAACCACCAACCAATCAACTATCTCTCTCACTCGCTCTCTGACGACTCTGTGTTAATTATGGCCGATCATTTCAGCGGTTGATGAATACATACATTCAGTTTTCTTGCATCTGGTTTGCGCCGAGAGATCCGCTTTGTGTCATTGAAATATGATCAAAGTAGCCTCAAGTTCATAGTTATACGTTGACGCGTTTTTTTCTCTCTCTCTCTCTTCTTTCTTTACATAATCACGGTTTTTAGTGCAGTTTGCAATTAGTGATCTGAAATTGAAATAGGTCTTGCTCGTGAACGGCATCGCAATGACGGCAACAGCAGTAGTAGCAGATAGTAGATCGTTGCGCGATCTGGCCAAATGGCAAACGATCTGTGTGCTCGCAAGCAAAGCGCGAGCTCAACAAAAATCGGTGATATGGGGAAATTGGCGTTCTGCTTCGCAGACTATAATAATCATGACACAGACTTATAATTCTTGTGCTATGATGGGTTTTTCTTTGTTACCTCGTTTTTTTTCTCCATTCGCATTTATCATTCGATGTAAAGCCATAAATGCTCGGCACTTTCGTTGCACGTAGTGTATATTCAACAGTTGAAAACACTCGTTCATTTACGCTCATTTCTCTCTCCCTCTTTCTCTCTCTCTCTCGCGCGCGCTTTGGTTTGTAAAAAAATTGTATTTTCCTCTTCTTCTGTTCATTTTCATTCCGATTCTCTCGCCGCTGAATTCGAACTCATTTTTGTGCACATGCAGCAGCAACACTCACAATGGATTGCATTGTACGAAACGAAAACGTTTCAGATGAACGATTTCCCGAGTCTGTGGCATATTCGCTAATCTATCTGGCTGTGACTTTGTGTGTGTGTCTTTGTCATCGATGGGCCACCGATGATAGGTAGATATATCTACAGTCGGTTTTTTTTCTTCATGTATTTATCTTGCTTCTTCTTCTTCTTCTTCTTCATTTTCAACGAATCGAATTCAAACATATGCAAAAATTGTTGCGCTATACGGAATCATACATATGCATTATGTGAGGCCAACAAAAGGGCCATGTGATGGTATTTTAATTTTGTATTCTCTTTTTTGCTCGTTTGCTTCCACACTTCTCCCTTGGATACGTGCAACTTGGCTGTCCTGAAAACCGAATTGAGCTAGACAGCTGTTAATACACACGGTACGCGCAACCGAACAAATTGCATGGAAGCAACAGCAGCAGCAACAACAGTACGTAACTACGACCGAGAACCTAACAACGATCGTAGTCGTAGTGTGTTAAACAGCGTAAAGCCAATTTGAATTCTCTCTCTCTCTCTTCCTCTCTCTCTCTCTATCTCTGTTGCTCTCTCGACCGCTCCCGCTCTCTCATGAATACAATTGAATGAACGTTGTGCGAATGTATTTGGCACATTGAACATTGAACGTTGGAACATATGAACAAGCCAACAACACACAGTCATATCGCTCTCGTTCGCATAGACTATAATAGTTTTGTACGGTGTGCCCGCGATCCAATGTACATGTACGAAAGAGCGTAAATCCACGTTGTACGTCATTCTCTCATTCATACACACACACACACACACACTCACAAATACACACAAAAACACTTATCCACATGCAGAGGCGCGTGCTGAAGGCGAACCAAATAGCGGCGAACACCGTTCGAATGTACCACCAAGCAGTTCGATTGAATGTGATTCATGAGTCAGGCGCCGACTACTGATCGGAAAACGTCTGTTTATATTTGTCTTGTGTGTGACCGAACAGCGAGAAAAAAAGAAAAGAAGAAGACATTGCAACACATATCATCATCATCGGCTGCTTTCTTGACACAAATTCTTGTGCACCCGAAAAATTGTTTCTTCGTTTTTTTTTTCTGTAAATTCATTCAGCGAAAACTGTTTTTTTTTTCTGTTCATGTGTACGTATTTGTGTTTTTGATTTGATTATAAAATAAAAACAACAAAACATTCGTGTAGTTAAAAAAAAGAGTAATATTTTGTCGATTGAAATGATGGGAAAATCAAAGCGAGTGTTGAATTTGTGAACAAAATTCTCAATTCATTTGAAAATTGAGAATGTGTGTTGAAACCGATAATCAGACGAAGCAACAAAAAAAATATTACCAACCGAAAGAAAAAAAAACCGACCGAATAATCATGAAAACCACCACCGAAGTAGTTTGTATTTGATTATAACCAGAAATGACGAAGATTAAACGAGAGAGATATCAAAAGAGTATTGTTGTCATTCCATCGCACACGATAATTTTCCCATTTGTGATTTATGTTTGCTTAACTGAATTAAGAAAATAAATCCGTTGAGATTAAGCAAAAATTTAAGCAGCTGTTTTGATGTGTGAGGCCTTGGCTGTGCTCGATATTTTCGGAGTTAGTGTGTGACATACGAAACGAACGCGAAATAATACAACATACATACAGAAAATAAAACAAGTAGTAGCTAACCGCAACAAGTAACAAACGCGGTGACGGCAAATTGAAAGAGAAAAAAAAGTGTTACACAGACGTGAATTGACAATGAAATTTCGCGCATTTCGAATATGATCTGAATAGCTTCGTTCCCAAAACTGTCGATTGAAAACTCAACATATTTTATTATCATTTTGTACGAAAAAAGAGATAGATGTCGATGTGTGCGTTACGAATCACATTAATCGAGCACCGTTCCAAAGAAAACGAAGAGAAAACTAAACGACAATAATAATCGAAGAGACGAAACGTAAAAAAAGAGACGTAGAGAAAGAAAAATAGAATTCAATACATTTGGTTTATCGAATGGAAAAGTATCATAGTGTTTGGCATAAAATACGACACCAATTTCAATTCAATAAATCCATGATTGATAGAATTGTGATGTAGCCAAAACAAATGTATGTTTTCTGTTGTTTTTCTCGTCTTTTTTGCGCTGAAATCTTTGTAAATCGCGCGTCACTAGAAGAAAACCGTCCATTTTGCGAGAAAAAAAAATGTTACTTAAATGCTGTGTATCTTTGATTATGTGATCACATATGCGCGCATCGATATATTCGCGACTAGATTTTCGGAATATATATATATATATATACCTTGGTGACGTGACATTCTCTCCATCGGCTTTTTAAAATAGTGTCGGTTATTTTTCTGACACATCAAATGTTAAATCTCACGACAGCCATCGACAAAACGAAACAGAAAAAAATAAATTTATCAAAGAAACACAAACAGTTTTTCAATGGGAATATGTTTAATGGACTTAAATATCGGTGTGATGTTATCACAATGAATAGTGTGCATCATTCGTTTAGTGATTGAATCATATGTTGAAAAAAAAAAAAGAAAAAAAAGAAACACACAAAGCTGATTATTGTCGTAGTGAATCATTATCGTCAGCCTAACTTGTTCAAAATAAATTGCCCTTTGGGAATAGTTCAACACATCGTACACGATAAAATACAATATTTTTTTTCTTCTTCTCTATATGTTGCATGGTAAGTGACGGTGACAAGCCGACAACAACAACACACCAAAATGACATTTGTTGCTTTTTTTAACTTGTTTAATTTGAATAGCATGGATATAGAAAGATAGATCGTAAGAGAGACAAAAAAAAATAGCGTTCATTTCGCCAAGCACACAACACTCAATGGTGGTCAAAGTGTCAATCATTTTTCAAGTAATTTAATTGCTGTTGTGTTTAATTGGTTTCTAAGCCAGGCCAGCCGGATAGTGATACAGTGTACATATCAACATCGAAATCGGTTCAATCACGAATACACCAAGCGAAGATTTAACAATTCACATTTGCATACACACTCTCGAGAAGAGCAAAAAAAAAATGAAACAAACTGAAGATGAAATGAACAGAGCAGAAAAAAACAGAAACAACAACAAATTCTGAATCAATTTCACATCTCAATCAACCGGTTGCCATAGATATAATTTGATTTCAGCATCTAATGACGATTAATGATGAAGTAATATTACTTTGGAATTGCAATCGAAAACGATGCCAATGGATGTGATTGAGAGTCTGTCTGCATAATGGTCAGCTGATTTTAGTGGCTGCGTCTGTCTCTCTCTCGCTCTTTTACTTCATCCAATCACAATTAAATTTCCAATCGAAATTAATGTACCTTTTGGGATTGATATTTACCGTTAATTTGTCTATAGATTTTAAGAAGACATTTTGAAAGTTAGTTTAACGGCCGCACATTTTTTTCCACTTCTTCAATCGATGAAGAGAAGGCGATCGAAAACGAAAAAATGAAAAGAAAAAAAATGATTAAAGGACTTCACACATTATCACATCCATTCGGTTTAATTGGAGCGCATTTGTGCGTTTGAGCCGCTATAATAAATGACTGGAAAGCAAAATCATTAACACTGGCATTAGACAATTGGATCCCATCATTTTGCATTAGCCATTTTATTGGTCAATCAAATCAATGGACGTTTTCGATTACCCCATCAGATTATATAGGCGATTAAATGAGCCAACGCTAAATGTGTTTATTGAACGGTAATTGACTATGTTACACACTCTTTCTAACTCTTACTTTGTCCCTCTGACGTTTATATGTCATGTTTTTTGTTCGTACACAATTTCGGAGCATATTCGGCCTGACAATAGTTTGCTAATTAATTTTACTTGTCAAAAATTATCATAATCGCCATTTACGGAGAGATTGAGTGGAGAGAAATCAAAAAAAAAGGCAAATAAAACGATGCTATCGGGTCAAATGAAACAATTTTTATGTTTGCATGTATAAAATAATATTTCTCTCTATTTTCGGCAGACACGGAACAAACAAAAAACATGACATTCGGCTCAGCGTGAAGGAAGACAACGAATAAAGAAGAAGAATAAAGAAAACAATGGAACGAAAGTTCAAAAGATTTATTTGATTTATTCATTTCGCCGAAAAAGATTTTGAGTCCTCCATTGTTGGACCGTTCTTATTATACGGTGACACTGTTTTATTTTATGTGATTGATGAAAGATGTTTAGCGGTACTTGATGGCAGCGCGAGAGTGACTTAGTGAGATGAGTGAGTGGGTAAAAGATTGAGAGAGAGAGAGAGAGAGAGATAGATAGAGAAGCACAATGAATAGGGATAAAAACCGAACGTTCTTTCTGTGAAGTGTGTAAAAATTAATGAAAACCAGAACGGTAAACATTCAACAAATGAGGAAATAGCAATTACAAATGGTTTTTGATGCTGTTTTTTTCTTCTTCTCTGTTTTTGGTCATGTTGCAAAGATTGAGCAATCTATTTTGTGTGTGTGTGCTTTAATGTTGCTGTTGTTATGGTTGACTATGAATGATCTGGTCTTGAGCGATGAGCAACTGTGGAATTGTAGAGCTTGACAATTATATTACCGATATTACCAACAGGCGAGGCGAAAGAGACGGTATGATAACGGTGATTAAAGAAATGCTAGAAAACCGATGAAAAAATAGAAGAACACTGAGAATATATATGTATATGAAGAAACAGGCAGGCGGGCTCGTTCGTTCCCGCGCACTCGTTAAACGATTTGTTGTGCTTCACTATTCGATAATGTTATTGTGTTGCTGCTCTGTGTGCCAAGGCGCGGAAGTCTTTGCGCAGCTGAGAATTACGTGATGGAATGGGCCCATGCCACATTCGTAACAGCAAGACATACATCATCCAAGGCAATGCTATCGAAGCTACATACGTGTACGATATCAAACGTCCGTGTGTGTGTGTGTGTGTCTCTCTATGTTATTCTATCAAACCTTACTCTCTCTCAGGCCCGCTTCCAACAAGAGATCTTGAACTATAATGTAGTGTCGCGCGTAGCGCTTTAATAAGGTCAAATAATTTTCAGAGAGAGAACGAGAGAATTCTTTTTTTTCGTCTTCTCTTCAGTCATGGCTCCCAATTGAATATTTTTCCTCGTTTTATTCTACATCATCTTCTGTTATGTTGTTTCTGTGCATGCTTAAATCTCTTTATACTTAACCCTCTAATACAGAGCTGGGAATTTTTTTCCATGCTTATTTTACCTCATAAGCACTTAAAAAAATATTCATAATCTGGTATAATGCTGGAATTATCAATAAATCGCAAAAATCAAAATGGTCTTATAAGTACAGTCATGCATTTACGACCAATATGGAAATTGCGAAGTATATGAACAAACCGAATTTGCATAGCTGTACTTATAAGAACAGCTTGCAAATTGAGTGATGTTGACATCGGAATTCGTGAATATCATTTTTTCTGGATTATTTGTGATAAAAATAGGTTAAAATAGAATGAAAATAAAATTCCACACTAAACCAAGCACACAAAATATCAAACAAAAAGAAATCCAAATTGCATGGCTGTACTTATAAGAACAGTATGCAAATTGACGGACAAATGTTGCACAATTGTAAAAAATCATTGAACTTGAATTGAATTTGGTTAAAAACACTCCAAATAAGCAGAAAAAAAATTCCTGAGGTCAACAAAATAATTTTGTTCGATTTAATCACGTTTCAAAAACAGGACACGAAACGAAAATAATTTATTTTTACGGAAACGTCGTTTTCTTGTACAAATGTTGTCATAACTTGACACTGGTTGACCGCACACAAAATTTTTATGAGAAAGAAATGTGCGCTAGTGTTCTCCAACGAAAACTGTCATACATTATTTTGTGACATAATCAATGATTCGCATTATAGAAAGGTTTAAATGAACCAACCTTATAAGTTCACGTATGCACTAGAGGGTTAACGATGATCACACAGCGAAATTCGCAATCGATCAAAATTCACCTTAAAAATAAACAGATACAAGACAGCTAAGAGTGTGAACATACGAACAAAACATACAAGTAACGAAATTTATAAAACGCTTTTTCATATCGCATTCTCTCTCTTTTCACGCCATCTCTCATTCGTGAGAATTCACCGCTGTTACTCTTGGATCCATTGTTGATTTATGTCTATTCGCTTTTGCGATCCCCAATTATTCACAATATTTCTTTTATTATGATTTTTTTTTCTTCTCTCATTTGGTTCCATTTGTCTGGTTGACTGGCTGGGACTGGGACTGGGAATGAATCTGAATGCGTCTATTCATTAATGCACGTCGATTTTTTGCTTCGCCGTTTTATTTGATGCTCGCTAAAATTGTGCATGTATGTCAAATTATCAACACAATCGCACCTTTTGCACAAATTAAATGTGAGAAATCAAATGTAATCCGCGTGGCAATTGTAAATGGATGTAAAATCACTTGATGCAGCAATTTTAATATACATCAATGTTCAGACAAAAAAAAAACGCTGAAAATGAAATGATGAACGCGAAAGAGAGAAAAAATGACGTCGCAAGGGTATTCAATTGGTGGATTTTTCCTTTGTTTCTTCGTGTCAAGCATGTTTTTCAGCACAGCGAAAGCTGCAGCAACGGCGTTTCAGGCACATTCTTTCAGAATTTTTCTTCTCATTATATTTTTCTTGCATTCTCTCCTCTCTGTTCGCCCTTTTCGAAAGTACAAATTATCAAATAAACGAAACGATAACGAAATCACTTGCGGCTACATTTTCAGCAGCGCGCAAATCATCGAAATTGGTTGGCATAGAAAACGGTTACTGTAATTGCGGTTGGGGACAGGCGAACAGGTAGAAGATTTCAAAAATTGCTTTGTGTCTCGAATTACAACGTCATGTGTTTCTGTTGCCACCATTGGCCCGCTGTTGCCGAGATTCGTTACGATCTCAGGTTGTGTGGCGGCGAGATCGTATTTCCACGAAGCGATCGAGTTTTGTGGAAATGAGCAATAAAAGCGAAGTTGTTATGAAAAATTGTGCGTAAAATATTTCTTTTACGCTTTCTTATTTAATATTCTTTCGAAAGATTTGGATTTTTCCAAAATGTTCATTATCCGCTGTTGCTGCGGCTGCGGCTGGGGCTGGTGGGCTGTGTGTATGTGTGTTTTGGTAGTGCGCTCGCTAGTTCATATTTTTATTTTGTTGTTTTATTTTTCTTCGCTTTATGCAATTACCATGGGTATGGATGGGTTTCAAAGAGAAATCTTTATTACACAGTTTTAGCTGTTTTGTTGCTCTGTATACATACGGCGATATTTTTGTTGTTTCATTTTATTTTTACTCGATTTGCCGTAGTCTCGCTTTGTGTATATATAGGTATGTGTACGGCAGAGAGCACACACCTTACCATTGTTGAAACCGATGATCTGATGTAGCGTACAAAGTGCTCGAAAATTGAAATAAATCGGCGCAATGTCTGCTGTTGCGCTCAAATTGCGTGTCTCTTTCGCTCTGGCGAGAAAAAAGAGCAGATTCGATGGTGCCGAGAGCTGAGTGTGTGTGCGATGTTGATGCTTGTGGAACAAAATGCTATACAAAATCACTTGGCAAAACGATCCATGGATCAAATAATCCATATTCAAAGGGATAGAATCATCGTGTGTCGAGAGAGAAAAACAAACAATTTACATTATGTAGT